CAGAGAGAGAGAGCTGCGGGAGAGGATGAAGCCTGGCTTTGAGGTGAAGCCCCCAGACCTGGAAACCTTACATCCCTCAGCCAACCCCATGGAGCACTTTGCCAGACATGGTGCACTAGGTCTGCCCCACATACCCGGGCCTCCCCACCCCTTCGCACCCTTCCATCCTGGGCTGAACCATTTGGAGCGGGAGAGGATGGCGCTGGCAGGACCTCAGCTGCGCCCAGAGCTTAATTACGCCGAGCGACTCACTGCAGAGCGGCTTCATGCGGAGAGGATGGCCTCTGTGGCAACTGACCCTGCTGCCAGGCTGCAGATGCTCAATGTGACGCCGCATCATCACCAGCACTCTCACATTCACTCTCACCTCCACCTGCACCAACAGGACCCCCTCAGTCAAGGTGAGGTTGGACTTTATAGATCTTCAGATGTTAATCAGCAGTAATACATCTGGTAGTGGGATGTTGACCTGTATTTACTGTATAACCTTATTTTATTTTACAGGTTCAAGTCCTCACCCTCTGGTGGACCCTCTGACAACAGGACCACGTTTGGCCCGATTCCCCTTCCCTGGTGGCCCAATCCCCAACCCTTTACTCAGCGATCTTCCTCATGATCATGAGATGCTGCGCCACCCATTGTTTGGTTTGTAATCTTACATACTCATGGCCAGAAATTTGAGTCTTAACAGAGTCTAACTTCTCTTATTCTTTTTTTATTTTATGCCTCCACGCCGGCGACAGCCAGGGCCGGAGGCATTATGTTTTCAGGTTGTCCTTCAATCCAGCTGTCTGTCCCTTTGTCCGTCGTATTGTCATGAACACAAATCTCAGTAACACCTTGAGGGAATTTCTTCAAATTTGGCACAAATGTCCATTTGGACTCTAAAATGAACTGATTAGAATTTGGTTGTCAAAGGTCAAGTGTCACTGTGACCTCACAAAACATATTTTTGGCCAATTTACGACACAGTTTAACACAAATGTCTAACAGGATAATATGATGAAGTGATGACATTTTATATCCAGATGGTCAAAGGGCAACTTCACTGTGACATCATAATGTTCTGCAAAAATGCTTCTGGCCATTATTCAATGCTGTAACTCAGGTAGGGGGGGATTGTGACCATATTTCCTGCGACTTGGCAGGGTGGTGGAGGCCATAATTCTATATTATTTTTATTTTTGTGCTTTCCATAGGAGCTGCATATCCACGAGAGCTGCAGGGCCCGATTCCTCAGATGTCTGCTGCTCACCAGCTCCAAGCCATGCATGCTCAGTCTGCAGAGCTGCAGAGGATGGCTATGGAGCAGCAGTGGCTGCATGGGCATCACCTGCATGGAGGCCCTCTACCAAGTCAGGAAGATTACTACAGGTGAGGCCTTTGAATGTTGTAATGTTGTTTTTGAGTATCTACAACAAGGGTTGAAACAGACTTTTTGAAGACACAAAACACTGTCAGTCTTTCCCTGTTGGGAAAGATACTGTTGTTAAAAAGAGAAGATGGTCCTCATAAAATACTTCTGTTAAAGCATACACACTGCTTAGCTTGTCTATTAGTCACATAGACACTCTCCTTTACAGTAAAAACTTTGGGAAACAACTAATATTTACTCTCCAGGAATTAATTTTGTCCATGACAGCAAAACATATTAACACAAGCTGTCTGTCTTCTGCACGTTAAGTGAGCTTGCTTAGCAATTTCAGGGCTCACTAAGTCTTCAAGAAACACTAGCTTGTCAACATTAACGCTACAAACAAACCCACTTTGCAGCACTTGATTAAGGAGGCAGTATCACTCCATTTAAAAAAAAAAAAAAAAATCTAATGTTCTTGATTATGGTACAACCCCCACTTTTTCAAACATAATTTCCAGAAAAAAATATTGTTTTAGCCTATATGGTGAATTGGATAATAAAAGTCCTTGTGTAAGAGCTTTTTTTAATCAAGGAAATGTTGCAGATCAGGGCAACAGCAATGATCACTGTTGTACCGAAAGCTGATGATGTGTTTGTACCTGGCCTGCAAGAGTTGAAAATAAATATTGTAACAGAAGCAAATGAGTGAAACAAATTTTCAGTTTGAGGAATTGCTTAGTTACACTCGTGTGACAACCAGCTGCACAATGTTAACTCAGTTTTGTTTCTGTTTTCCAAAGCCGCTTGAAGAAAGAAGGTGACAAGCCATCTTGAGTGTCAGGTGGTGCATGCCCTGAGACCCTACACTTATACTCAATAGAATACTGTGTACCTTTGAGACTGTAAGAGAATATTTGTGTGTCAATTTTTTTGTTTTAATATATTTTAGAAAATACTTTGTGGATCTTTATGTGCATTCCTCGTTCAGCACTTAATGGGACTGTCAAAGTCCGTCTGAGATTTTCATATCACTTAGGACTTTATACTAGTTTTATTATCAAATAATCAACAATCTCACTTATTCGTGTGAGATTTAAAAGTGACAGATTTTCTCTAACAAACTGTAAAACTGTTTGATATGCAGTGATTTAAACTTGCTATAATACAGCTCTTATAAATGATATGAAAACAGACCGACTTTGGTGTTAAGTTTAAACATACCTATGATGATTTCTAAATGATTTCCTTGTACAGAATGACATTTAAATCAGTGTTTGAATGATTGTAACAACCTAGCATGACGCAGTCTTCAGTTTTCAAACTAGAGTAGCAAGTTGCATTGTGGTGTTTAGACTCTGAAAGTATAGTAGAGGTTGGTTTTACTCTTAAATCTGCTAAATATTTGTCTAAATCCTAAAGTTTTATATATCAAGATATCTTTTCACAGTATAACCGAAGCTTTTATTCGCTCATTTTTAAGATTGTAAATATTACATGGTTACATTATTCTATATGAATGAGTACTATTGGTATAGCAGTAGTTGTGAACACCTGACCCCTGATTCAGCACGATAGCAGTAAATCATAAGCTAAAAACAGTATATAGTATTATAGGTGAGATAATGATTAATTGGACCATGATCTGTCACTACAGACAGAAGGTTTTTTTGGAACAGCGTATTTCCTTCATTTTGATGAGAAAGAGTGAATTGGAAAAACAAAATCTTTGACACTTAAATGAAATTTAAAAAAATAACTGCCTCTAAATTCAATATTTATGTGATATAATATGAAAGTGTATCCATTGCATATTTATTTCAATAAATATTTCTGCAGTGACGCATTATTTACTTTGCATGTGGAGTTTTATATGCAGAGAAAAAAAAAACATTCTGTGGTATAAGAAAAACACCCGTATACCTCCTGCTTGTTTCCTGCACACATCAACTTACACAGAGAGGAGTTATATATTCATGGTTTTATTGCATTAAATCAATTATTGCACCAAATCTGTCATATATGGAAAATCAAAGTTTTGTTTGACGAGATATGTTGTGTTCTAACAACAATTTATTAAACAACAGATTGTTTAGCGTTAATACTATACAGGCATTTGACACAGCAACACTAAATGGAAATGTCATTTATGAAGTTGTGTAAATAGTTAAAGCTGCTCATGAGAAAATAGTTTAGCTTAAATTTTTTTTCCAACACAGTATGTGACATTTTTCTTTTTGCATCACAGCAGATCCTGCACCTATGTTTTGACTATACAGCATTTTAGACCAGTGGTTCCCAACAACAAGGGTTCCTGAGATGAATCTAAAAGGTTGTGAAGCAAGAAAAAACTAAAACCTGCTACAAAGAATTACCTATATTTTTCAGACTTGTCTCTAATCTTTGTTTTTTTTTTACTGTCCAATACTGTATAGTTTTACTTTTTCAGATCTGTAGAAATTATTCAATGATGTGGTCTGAAAATGAAGAATCACTCTGAACTGCTTTCACCTCACGCAGGCTTTGATGAGGGGTCGCAAGAGGACGTGGCTTTGAATTAAAGGAGCACAAAGCAAAAAAGGTTGGGAACCACTGATTCAGACAAAGCTTTCCAATCACACACAGCTCAGGCAGTCACCTACTTAATCTTTTTTTTACAACATACTTACAAACCAGACCAATGTCTATACCATAACTTTCTTTGAGGCTTTTATCCCTAAATAGACACCCCACATACACTTTGCAGCAGTGCATGCTAAAAATCTACAGGCTCCTGTTACATCTTAGCTTGACTGCAACGGTATAACATACAAATCCATGATTGAGGCACAACAGGACATTTATAAGATGGCACGTGTTAAAAACTATGAGCTTCTGAGCTTACATTATGGTCCGTTTATCAACATCAGTTTATCCAGAACTGATAAAACCAGAGTTATTAAAAGCTTAAAAAACACCTGAAAATGTTTTCATGTCTTAAAGGCTTAAGGCTTTAACAAATCCCATGAAAAGAGCAAAACTTACAATGTGTTCCCTACCCTATCTGTGGCACCACCCTCTCCGTGACTGACTATGTGACTGATAGATTTGAGTGATCAAGTTACATCATTGGTCAGTCGAATACCACGTGACAGTCATGAAGTAACCATTGGTCGGCCAGCCAAGTGTTGGAGTTTCCACATTTTCCCCATTCCATTCAAATTGAATTGGCATAGTTTAACAGTTTGTATCAGGGGACATTTACAACCTGCATTGTTGCCAATTTAGCACATTTGTTGGTAGATTTAGAGACTGTTTTTCAAAAAAGCACCTAGCGACAAATGATGTGGTTTTTTTTGGACAAACCTTAGCTACTCTTCATAGTAGCGAGTCGCCAGTAATTCTCCGCTAGTGAGAGGTACACCTCTTTATGTGTTTACTCTGTTCAGTAAGTGGCAGAGAGGTAAAGCAGCAGTTTGGCTGCTGTTTGCTTTGTGAGACAAAATAAGAAAGATATTCTGTCACTTCTAACATTCTCTCTGAGTGATTGTTTTACAAGAAAATATAACTGAAATCACAGCACAGTCTTTGTCTTTAACTTATGTGTTTGCAGTTAGTGATGTCCCTCACTTGAAAGTTGCTTTGGATAAAAGCGTCTCCCAAATGACTAAATGTAAATGTAAATAAAATCAAGATTTTGTGCAGAGCAGAAGCTTGGAAATGGCTTGGAGGCTATCATGTAGTCTTCATGGGCCACATTTCAGTCATTATTTCTTGTTGTTCCATTGTCTGACAACAGAAACAGAAAAACATACAAATGACAACAGCTTTACTCGGGAATTTGGCTGTATTAAAATACTGTATATGTGAGCACAGAGAGTAGGAGAGAAGCAAATAGATTAAGGGCTGAAACCACTGACACTAGGCAGAATGCAAATACGACGCGATGATGTGAGTTGTTTACAGCTGTTCCACAACAGTTTTCAACTACGTTCTTTTTGGCACACTGACCATACGCAGTCCAGCCATTAACTAGGTGTAATTATGTTAACTTCACAGTCTGCCTAGAAATGCGGCATATGTAGTATGAGTACGTATACTGAAAATATGTATGTTAAAATTTTAATACTTATATTACATATATTTATAACTTTATCTTTGAAATTTTATCCTTTATATTTTGTTTTCCTAATCCTCATTTACCTTCATTTTGATTATAATTATTGCACATCAGATTATCATCAGTCCAACTAGTTTCACACTGAAAAAAACTTAAAACATCAGTTCTTCTTTATGTGCTGTATAATGAATCGGAAAAAGGCAGTAGATATTAAGCAGGTGTATGACATGTACATACAGTGGATGTATTTGTACAGATGGACCCAGGTGAAAAATGTTTGGAAATGACTTCTCTTGTGTGTACAATTATGTATCAGGGACCATCTTGAGGAGGCGTCTTCTTCTTCACATAGTGCCGCAGGTACTGGATAGCTGAGAGCGCACTCACATTTGCTAGCAGAGCTGAACAGGATTTCATTAAAGTTACATTCACCAAGTCATAGAGAACTCTTAATGTTCAAAACTTAAAGCCCCTGAAAACTGCATTTCAAATCTGAAGTATTTCTCATTGATATTAAAAAAATCTTTACTAATTAAGCAGCAATCACTGTTAAAATTATTTTCATTTTATTGTCATTTATTTATTTAAACTTCTTTAAGAAGCTGACTGAGAAAATATGTTCTCAGCAGGCCTTTAATATTGTACTTTATACTTACTTGCTGAATAATTTTAACTGTCACAGCAGATTATCACTGCAACAAGCTTCATACCTGCTTTCCAGGCATCAGCAGACTCTGGATCAGAAGATCTGAGTACCCAGGATGCAAAGGCAATGCAGACCAAACACATATCTGACTGCTTCAGCGTAGAGAAGACGCCCTCTCGTCCTGCAAGAGACATACACATGTGCAGAAAAGTGGATTTCATTTAATTCTGCATGCATTGTTTTTTGTGTCCAGTGTGACAGTGTGTAAGAGAGCTCTGGCTTACTTGTTGTCTGTACAGTTCCCAGAATGCTCTGCTGCACTGCTAGCTCTCTGAACATCTGAGAAGGAGTTGAAGAGACTCTTCCCTGCGTGAGGACAGTGACCGGTGGATCCTTTCTCTCTATCCTCTCAGCCTCCACTGGAAACACCCAGGCGCCGGACCTTCGGCACCAGATGCTACCTTTGTCGTGGAAGCGAATCTTCCTCATCCACAGCAAACTTTTCCAGTTGCGAGAGCCACCTGCAGCTGCTGCAGATGTCCCACACTGATTGGCCTGGATGAAAGAGCGAGACACGACTCTGATGGGAGAGAGGTTGTCCAGCTCGTGCTCTGCCTCGTAGTCTGCACTCAAGAAAACATAGTTTGATTTTGGGAATGTGAGTTCTCTGAGAGGATGAGAACAAGAGAAGATAGGGATGGGTTTCTCCTCGCTGCACTGGGAATCATGGAGGGAAAAGAATGACATTTCATCCCTGAATGTACAAAGAGTGTAGTCAAACACTGGAGCCACTGAGATGTCATCTGGATCATAGACAGCGACACACCTGGAGTCATTCTTTGCTTTACCCTCTGTGAAAAAGTATTCAAATACTTCTGGGAAGGATATTTGATAATGTTCATCCAGTATGTCTGTATTGGACAGAAAAGGTGCTGGGATGAGTGTTTCCAGGCTATCACTCACTTTCAACACCAAGTTTTCCTCCAGAGACTGGCAGCTGCTGAGAAGTAGACTGCTGTCATCATTACCAAAGGGTAAAGTTAAATCCTCTTTGTTGAGAGCTTGTATGTTGTATGTACTTTTGCTTTTTGTTGTCTGTCCTGGCCACGCAAGTTTGCTCAAAGTATATGACTCCTCATCCTCAAAACACTGTCCTGCAAAGTCCTCCGAAGGCACAGGTGTCTCCTTTCCTTCAGAGCTTGTGGACTCCTCCTCCTCATCCTCCTCCTGTGATGAAAAAGGAGAGTCATTAGTCCTTTGTTGGTTTTTGCTGTGAGGATCAGGACTGGGATTCCTACTGGCGTCAAGAAACTGCCAGTACTCCTCTTCAAAATCTGACGTGGAAAACTCACAGCTTGAGCGATCTGGCTTGGACTCGTCAGGCTGTGTGAAATAGTCCGAGTCAGCAGTGTCTGACATGTCCATTAGACCACCACCATCAGGCAAATTATACTGCACAGTGTCAACCAGAGGGCTGTGACTCGTTGGAGATTCATCTACATTTGTCGTCGCTGTTTCTTGTGTTTCCCAGGGAGGTGTGCTTCTACCCATCCTAAGATGCAAAATATCATTTATTGTCAGTTTTTCCATTTCCTCCCAAAAGGCAGAAATGGCGTACACAGGTCGGGTGTGGCCTGCAGCTTTGGCATATGCTTCGGGGTTGTCAGCCGCAGAGCAAGGTGTTACAGTTAAATCAGGAACAGGCAGAGGACTAAGCTGATCTCCTGAAGAGCTACCAGATGCTGAAAGATTAATTTTGTGTTTTTGAAGTCCAGGTGTGTGCGAGAGTGTGTGGAGGACCGTGCTGTGTGAGTTATTTTCACATGCAGAGTTGTCATCTGGCATTTTGTCAGCTCTTTGGCCAGCAGATGGAAATGTCAGGGCGGGCTCAACATCGGTGCGTTCATAGTTGGTGTCTGCTGCATTGCAGGGGGCAGTGCTATCACAAGAATGCATTTGTCTGTCCTGTGTACTGTCAGCACTCTTAGTCTGCAACGTCAGAGGTGCTGAGCGCGGCAGCTGTATGAAATCCACAGGTTGAAAGTTTTCCATGAGGAGATGCTGAGTTTCCTCCACTGATTCAGCAGCAGACAAATAGCTTTCAGAGTCATAACTGTGAATGGAAAAGAACTCAACACCATCTTCAAACTCGTCTGACTCCGCACTTTCCAACTTTGAGGAGTCTTTGGGTGTAAATGTATCATGTGACGTGGATGCTGAGCTGCCTGGTTCATGTTTGTCTCTGTCAGTCGTCGGCTCAGTGATATTTTCTTTAGGGGAATGAGAGATATCCAGGTTTTCTGACACATTGTCCTCTTCACAAGACAATTGCAATGAATCTGAAACACTCTTAGGAATTACTTCAGAACTTTGATGCCCTCCTGAGTTTTGAACAAAGTTTTGGTTTGATTGAGTGAAGCCCACGTCCCTCCCTTCCTCAGATTCATATTTATCTTTGTTTATCTCCAAGCCATTTGCATGTGATTTCTCCTCCCTGTGGCTGCACAGACTGGGACTGTTTTTACAAGGTTTTTTTTGTCTTCGTTTTTTTTTCACAGAGGTGGCACGCACCCGCTGTCGTGCAGGACTGTCATTCACTGTCACGAACCAGCGCTCCTTCTCCACTCTCGCAGCGCCACTGCTCACATCGTCATTCATAGCTCTGTCTGTAGTGTGCTGTTCATTAACATTTAGTTCTGTTTGAGGGCACAGTGGATCAGGTTCATTTCTGGAATCATCGACTTCTGTTTGCAGATCTCCATCCTTCTTTGTCAGCTCTTTAGAAACTCCTGAACACTGAACATGTATTGTATCAGTTTGCAGTGTGTTCATAATGTTGTCATGTGTCTCCTCCTCCTCTTCTGCAGTCTTCACATGCAGCTCTTTTGTGCTGAGTGTATTTCCCGCAAGACAATCGGGGCATATTTCAGATTCCACCTGTGTCACATTGTCTTCTTCAGCTTGTTCTCCTGTGCTTCTCTCATTCAGCTTTGTCGACAACTTCATACGGCTCTCTTCTCCTGTGCTGCATCCTGCAGCGTTGCTCTCAGCTCCATCACTGTTCACATCAGGGCTGTGCTGTTTCTCCTGCTGGCCTGCGCTGGAGACTGGACTTGAGTTTTCAGAATCCTCTGAATCGCTGAGGCTCAAGTTATCAGGGCAGGCGAGCGAAGGCTGCAGCAGACTGCACTCTTCACTCTCATCATAGAAGCTGGTCCAGTCAAACTCTGCGATGTGCATGCTGTGATCTAGATCATCCATTTTGATGCATCACATGCTCTTCAATCTGGAAAAAAGAAGAGAAAATATAAAGGTCAGTGATTACAGATTCAGATGTTTATTTTGCATTAAAAATAAGAAGTGTCAGTGTAGCAGTACATCCTTGGTGACCCCACTGGCTTATAGTTGAAGTTACATCCACACATTGGAGTTAAATATAGAGCGCAAGCATTTGTTTTGCAAGCTTAACATTGCTGTAATCAGCTGTCAGTAGGAAACAATTGTGCAGAAAGCAAACAGGCTCCTGCATTGGTTCAAACTCTGAGAAGTGAAAATCTCAACAGAGCACCAAAGCAACACTAGAGCACCTTGGTCACAACAGCTCCATAACAGACCCCAAAATACTCCATGGCCCAGCTCTTAGAAAACATGGCATATGACCTGATATGAAAGATTCAGATGTCCAATGTCAGGGTACAACTCAATGTATCATCTTAACACGCAGTTGGGGGGGGGGAGTTGTAAACAGAGTGACACTGATACAAAACTACATGATCACTGAAACATCGTCTTATTGAAAATTGTGCCACCACAAATAATTCCTCAAAGTGTATGTCATATTTTTGTATTCGGTTAACACATTTTGCACTGTTGTTTTGGCTTTAGGGTCAAATGTATTTCATTATTTTTCAGTGGAGTGGTTATTAGGGTCATTTTCAGCATAACGGACCTTGTTGTGATTAAGTTCTTTCAACTGCTCTTCCTCAAAGTCATTAAAGGTCTTTTCTATTTTCTATTTTGTTAAAAGAACTAACAAAATATCACATATCGCATATCACATTCGGTAAATTAGTGTTAATGTGTTGCTGTGAATAAAAATAACCTACCTGTTGCAGAGGGACGAGACGTCCAGTTTGAAGGTGTCCTTTTCTCCCTGCAGGAGCATTTCAGCTCTGATGTGCATCTGTCCTTGCATATGTCAGACTGGGGCCTTGCACTCAGCTGTTATAAATAGAGTAGTATGACCAGTCACATGGAGCTGCTGGTGCAAATGTCCTCCCCTACAATACCAGAGGTATGACATTTCAGCAACCAAAAATACAAGCCCCCTTACATTCATCAGAGGTAAGATCAATAATCAGTTCCATTATGAGACTAAAACATGATGGACATAAAGGGCGCTCACATACTTTGCTACCATGATTGATATTTTAAATATATGTTGTATACTATTTTTAATGTGACACATTTTTTTTTTCTATTCAGGTCTTCATACTTTAATATTTATATTTTTCATTTTAACAAATGACATTTTAAATATTCAAAGTTTTAGTTAATTTTTCCACCAAACTTTTGTGCTGATAATTCTAATATCACAAATGTTTATTGGGGTAAATATTTATAGTTTCACAATGTACCTGTCTTTAATACTTTTAGCATCCATTCTTGTGGTGGCCAAAATCCTGTCCGTGTATGTAGGATAGCATCAACATTAAGAAATGTTGAGATTCTTGTTTTAAATAGAAATAAACTTTTAAATCCAACATAAAAAAAATTATTATTATTACTTTGGAAAGCAACATAAGTTTCTTCTAAAATCAGAGCATTAAGACTTGCAATGGTGTATCATTTTCTCCTGAGTTTAGATATAGATTACCTCAAGTGAAAAAAAAAGAAATGTATTACCACTGTTTCTGATGTATGAACAATCAAGATAAATTAAATGTTTTCCTTCCTGGCGGGGTTATTTACGTATCTGGTAGGAGCCAATCAATGTATTCGATAACCAACAGGGAAATTAAAAAGTAATTAGCAGAATAACTTGTACAGTGCAGCATTGTCATTGTAGAAGCAGGAACCCTGAAAGAAACGTCACAATTATTCAAATTTGTCTTTGAAAAATATATGATTTAAGATAACTATATACATTTAAAAGAAAAAACAACAGTATAATACAACTGAACCGAGGGAAACGGTGATTATGGAAAGGTGCTTTATTTCTGAAAACAATACATAGATCTTCAGAACATTCTTCATGGCGTTGAAACTAGAATATGTACATCATTACAAAAACAATACATCATTTGTATAAAACAATATGTACATGTATTCAGCTTATTGTCGTCCGTACAACAGCAAACACAAAGCAAAAAGGGGAATATTCATGGAACGATCGCTGCCTTTTATCTGGTTCACTTCAGATTGCTCCATACATACTGAAGATGGAAATTAAGTTTTACAGCCTTAGTGTTGTCAAGATATAAAAATATATGAAGTAAAATACCACGAAGCAAATTAAACTTGGATAACTAGCCTTGGTTTCGAATTGTGCACAGTAAAGGCCACTGGATATTATTCAAATACCCAACTTTTCATCACCTCCAGACTAAATTGTTTCCTGGCTGCATTTAAAGCTCATAATGGCACAGTAATCACAGTAATGGCATACAATACAAGCCATTTTCTTCAGACAACATTTGGCAAAGGTAATAGTAGTCAAGTAATGTTCACAGTGCAACAATAATGTTGCCACTTACACAAGAAAACAATCTCAATCAAACTTGATATCAACAAGTTATGTATTTTGAGTATTTGAGCATAAAAAGTAAGGTCTAACGTTAGCTGATGACCTCGGACAAATAAAGTGCAGGAGGATTCAAAAATGTTAAAAACCTGTTGGAATTAAACTTCACTCCATGGAACAAAAGTGGCATTTTAAAAGTTTGAGAAGGATCACAGAACTTCCTATGAAAAAATGATGATGTTCTTTAAAATTACTTCTGTCAGTGTGTGAGTGGGTCTGCTGTGGAATGTAATAAATAATGCATTCAACTGCGATACATGATTTGTTGTACTTGTAAAATACAATCACCTTGGTTGAGCTCGCAAAAAAAAAAAGAAAAAAATACAAACGCAACAATAAAAATACAATCAATCATCAATACAACACCTACAGTAACTCCCTATAATGTCCCGGTCCACCAGAAGAAATCTTATGCTATCAGACGCATTATTTATTCTGTTGGCCCAACTTTAATCAGTAAAATTCAGTGCACTGATACAAAATGCAAATAAATACCACACGTAAAAAAAAAAAAAAAAAAAAAAAAACCCAAATTAGGAAAAAAAAAAAAAAAACCCTAATTAGTGAAAAAACAAGCTTCCATCAAACATCACTAGGCTGTCACTCTGTCCCAAAGATCAGTGTCACTGTCGATCAGCTTGGTCGCTGGTTTGATTCCTCTGATAGATCCATGTATTTCTGAAGCCTGTCACTTAAAAGACCAGCCAAGATGACAGGACTGATATCAGACTCATGTCTGTCTGTTAAAAGTGGAGCTACAATAGCCAGGAGACGTTAGCTTAGCTTAGCTTAGCAAAAGGACTGGAAACAAGGGATAACAGCTAGCCTGTCTCTGTCCAGAGATAACAAAATCCACCTCCTTCACCTCTAAAGCTCAATAATTAAAACATTATATCTCATTTGTTTAATCCATACAAAAACCAAAGTCAAACTAGAATTACCACCTAAAAGTTGTATAAAATGTCATCACTTCATCATTTTATCCTATTAGACATTTGTATTAAATTGTTTCATAATGAGTGTATGAATTTGTGAGTTATGGCCACAACAAACATGTTTTGTGAGGTTACAGTGACCTTTGACAACCAAATTCTAATCAGTTCATCCTGTGTCCAAGTGAATGTCTGTACTAAATCTGAAGAAATTCACTCAAGGCAGCCCTGACATATCACATTCAAGAGGCCAAAAACATGTTTTGTGAGGTCTCAGTGACCTTGACCTTTGACCACGAAAATCAAATCAGTTCATCCTTTGAGTCCAAGTGGACATTTGTGCCAAATCTGAAGGGATTCCCTTGAGGACCTCCTGAGATATTGTGTTCACAAGGCCAAAACCGTGTTTTATTAGGTCACTATTACCTTGACCTTTGGTTTGTGCCAAATTTGAAGAAATTCTGCCATGGTGTTACTGAGATATAGCATTCGCAAGAATAAGGACGGACGGACGGATGGACAGACAGACAGACGGACGGACACATAAGGTCATAACCCCGCATAGGATAGGGGTTATGACCTTATTAGTGATCTTTGGAGGTGCTGGTAGCCAAGTTTTTTTAATACCTTTGAATGGAGTCAGGACAGTAGTTTCCCATCATTTCCAGTCTTTATGCAAAGCTAAGCGGCTAGCAGCTGTAGCGTCATATTTTCCATGTGACGCTACAGGTGAGAGTGATATCAATCTTCTCATCTAACTGTCGACCTAGAGGGGAAATAAACATATTTCCCTAAATGTCAAACTATTCCTTTAACAGACAGGTCTACATATTCATGAAACCCAACGCACACAGTCATACAGCAGACAAAAACTGCTCGATGACAGTGTTTAGACTTAAAATCCAAGGACTGACGTTGAATGATGAATCTATACATCACCACAGTGCTGCATCAGAGGGTGGAAAATACAAACCGACCTGTGATGTTTTAAATTTACTGAGAAATACTGAAACAATTTCTCCGGGACATTTTAATTGTGTCTGCTTATTTTCAAAGAAAAACGTAATGAACAAGAAGTGAACAAATATATGAACAGGTCAAAGGCGGTGTCAATAAAATGCACCACCTGTAGTTACAGTTAAATTTGGCCACATTTATATGAGTCAACTGGTCTTTCTTCACGATTGATAAGAAAATCTAATATCATTCCTGAGCTTTCTCTCCTACCTGCACCAGCACTCCCACCCCTCCTCCTACACATTATAGACTTGAGTAGTGGATGTGGTGGGTATGGTGGCACTATTCACTGTTGATGTCGCAGAGGGCCGCTCCCTTCTCACATATCTTGGCTTCCTCACTTCAAAAGAAAGAGAACGACAAAAACATGTTTGTGAGAAACATGAGCTTTTAAGAACAGCTTTTAAAACCAATACAAAAAACAAAACAAAACAAGCTTGTCTTTTTTGCAACAATCCTCAAAGATGTAAAACACCTCGTCAACATTGCCAAATAGTCCTGGGTAATGTTTTGACTGCTTTGCATTACTCATTAGCTTCAGATAATTCTATAACCTGTTCTGCAAGGTCAGAGAGGTAGTTTACAGAGTAAGACAGTCTAGTCGTCTTACCTGATGAGGAGGGGATCATGACAGCCTGGAAGAGGGAAAAAAACAAAGGAATTATAACTATCCCTTAGAGACACAAACATTTATAAATAATGTCTTTGTTGTATTTTGAACCTTGCTGAAGTTACAATGAACAGATTCACAGTCTCCACACGAGTCCCTGAATGTACTGTAGTGTGCAATTAGATATAAACAAACGATAAAACTGACTTACTGTTTCACTTGGTTGGAAAATGAAGGCTGTAAAAGTACATGACACAACACAATGTTACATTTGAGTTTAACCAACTAAAAATAAAACGGTATCACTGAAGCAAAGCAATAATATTCCATGTTGTTCAAGCACTTCCATGCTGTATTAAACAGGATTTAATGAGCGTTGAAAGGTCAGCAGGAACTGCTTCATACTTCAGGTACATACTTCAGTACTTACCCTTGTTGCGGCGGTAGAAGATGCTTGGCAGTCGGTTGGAGCGTTTGAGGTAGAAAAAGGAGGCAACAGACAGGATCAGGAACAGGCTGATCAGCAGTGTTCCCAGAAGAAGGGAGGCTGCCACACCTGGCCCTCCTGCCCAAAAGTACAAGACAAAACATGAAGCAGATGACGAGAAATATGACAAATATCCTATTAGCAACTGAAGATGTTTACTCTATCATCATACACACTTCTCAATGTGAAGTATCCTGCACCGCTCATCTTACATTTCAAGCTAAACACAATCAATGAGAACTATATTAGCCTTTTTCAAGTGGTTAATTAGACTTAAAACTGAACTAACTTCAGTTTTTCTAATAATTCAGACTTGCAGACACATGACAATGCAGGTAAAGAAATATTATACGTAATGATATTAGTAAATCAGTCTGTAGTGACTGTAGATATGATATCTTACCAATTTTAGGAATGACAGTAGTTACAGTTGTATGATTTTTCCGCTCCACTGTATAGTCTAATGTGGACAGAAAACATGCAAATTAAAAAAAACAAACAAACAAAAAAAAAAAACACATGCCCCAAAACATTCAGATTTTCATTTCTCCAAAACAGTAAGTGAACAGTTCTCAGTCCTTACTGTAGGTGCAGACTGTTATGTTCTCCAGATCCACAGCTGCTGAGTCACAGAATATGCAAACAGTATTGCTGTTCTCAAGGACACGTAAGAAGCAGCCTGAATAATTCAAAAGAAAAATATATTTCACATTATTTATTCTCAGATGGAGGAAATGTCCATTACTTGCTGTATATAGTGTATTCATAGTACATTTAAATTAAATGAACTGGTGTTAAATAAAAGTGAAACATTTGCCCCAGCTAATACAATTTAAAAAGTTTCAAATTAACAAAACAATGTTTTTCTTTTTTACAAGTTGCAAAGGATAAAAGTAACATTGGCACAGGGACAGGGACAGGGACAGGGACAGGGCAGGCGATTTCATAAGTTTAACTCTTTATTTGTCCGTTTCACCGTGTCTGTCTTGCATGCAGGAGCAGACACTTGTTTTTTCCACAACACCTTTGTCATACTTTCTCTTTCATTTTAGGAAGTACAACAATGAGCAGCAGCAACTGCCCATACAATGTTTGAACTGTGTGTCACACATAATCTGTTCTTGGTAGATCTTCAATGTAAATTCATACATCAGTGTTATGGCTTTCAGTGGTTGATGAATGCATGCAGTGGTGTCATTCAAAACATCGACATTACCTGGTTCACAGTGGGTGTCATTTGAACATGAATTGTTCACTCTCTGTTTCTCACCACAGCACTCAAGGGAGTTCTGATGTAAGGCCTGTAAACAGAGCAGCATTCACAGATTATCTAATCAGTGTAGCCTGAAAAAAACACATACACACACTGACCCTTTTGCCAATAGCATTCATCCTCTTACCTTTGTTACAGGTGTCTCAGGTCTGATAAGAATCACAGTGGCAGCAAAGACCAAAAGGAATGACAGAGCCATATTCAAACCCTTGAAGATCAAACAGACTTGAATTAGATACACATATATTGCTTTACTAGACACACACTTATACCACAGGAAAGAAGAAATGATAAAACAAGTTTCTGACTGGTTGAACTGAAAGTTGACATCAAAGGCCTGGTCAGGTTCACAGTCTTGTTTATTAATAAAAGTACTGCAAGGCTATGTCACTTGTGAATCTTTTTCTTAATTTAAAGTCCACATACATGGTTTGCCTCCCAAGATTTTTCCCAAAATAATGTACAACATCAGGTGTTTGAAATTAATGTCTAACATGGTCATTTTTAAAAACATAAATAGCTATTGTAACTGCAATAATTTGGCTGATATCACAATAAATTTGACAAGTTCAATTCTCTTTCTCGGTTGGACTGTTTGATTTTGTAAGGGCTCCACTCAAATAAAAAAAAATGAGTCACCCACAACCACAACAGTTTAAATATTCATGAGGGGCAGTCTTCAACAAAAGTGACTTTACTGGTAACTTAGCGTTACAATTCTCAACTTTTACACATTCCCCTTTCCATTAGGAAGTAATTATTTCAGGGGCAAAGCTAAGTTAACGCAGCCAATTTCTCAGAAAATGGCTTGAAATGTGATAACCTCAGTTAAGTGATACAACCGAGGTGTTTAGCTAGCTAGCAAGCACCTGTCACCGGGATGAAGTTATACCCTTAGCGTGGCCGCAGTCAGCACTAAAATAACGATGTCAGCGTTAGAGAGGCAGATGCACTAATCTGTCTAAATCTGTTTTACATTATCGGGTATGTTTACAGCCACTGACTAAGCACCTACACATTGGTGAATTTGGAGACACAAAAAGTTAACTCACCAGCCAAACACCAGGCTTTGGCCTGTCCAAACTCCTAGGTGTGGTTTAGTCAACGTCAGGTCTCGTCCGCCGCAGAGATATCATCAGACAGTCACTTATATTTGTTGGCAGATTTGTCATCAACACACCTCTAGAGGACAAACACAGATAATCATGCAGCTCGTAGGTTACAGCGACAGCTACTCATTTAGAATATACACTTCCGGGTGCGCTTTTCAAAATAAAACCTTGACTGTTTATGCTTTATTCAAATATTCTCGGATGACAGTTTGTCAGGTGCACCTTGCTACAACAAATGTAAGCAGATACAACAGTAATGAAATAAACTTTACTTTCATGAAGGTTGTAATGGTCAGATCCTAGCTCTTATCCTTCTACTGTTTTTTCCATATCTCTTTTTTGGTTTATAAATTTAAGATTGAATTTCCTTGACTTTGATAGTAATGTTGATTAGACATTACTTTCAGATAGCAGTACCTAGTATAAATTGGCAAATGAGTGCATGTCTGCGTAAAAAACATAAAAATAAATAGATTATTTAATGAAAATAAAGATTACAATGAATACAAAATACCACTTCTACTGATTATACTAATACTACCAATACTACTACTAATAATACTAATAACAACAACAATAATAATAATAACAATGATATTATTATTATTATTATTATTATTACAAGTAGAGTTTGTTGTTAAAAGCATATCAATATATAATTCTGGTGTGTCATAGATAGAGTGTTAAAGACCTGAGGACAAAATACTGCATGTTGACGATGAAAATGTTGTTCGCTAAAACACATTTTATGCACAATAGAGTGACAATAAATGAAAAATGACGAATATTGTAATGTTTCCTAAATGAATGCCATTGCAATGTGAATGGAAATTAATTAATATAAAAACTATTGAAATTAACTATTAATTGATTCTTGAATTGAAATTGTCATTAACTGACTTTTCTTACAATAGAAAAAGCACAGGTGTGATTGCTAACAATATTGATGGCTCCATTACATTTGCCAGTAAGGCAGCATGCACAATACAAATACAGTTCCAATGAATCTGATTATTTTAGTTACACCTGCGTTTAAGAAGTCACAGTATCTGAGGTCACAATTAGCATGGCTGGATTAACCTGTCTGGGGGCCCCAGGGCAGTTGCCCCTTTTAGTAATCCAGTCAGACTAGTTAGCCCACATTTATGGAATTAGCATTTTTCACTTCATCATTGTTCTGTATTGTCAACGTCAATCGTCTTTTATTTAACCCAATGTTTTTAATGCCGTGGTGAAGCCAAAGACAGTTTTCCACAATGTGCACAATAAACTTACTGACAGACTGACTAACTAACCGACTGACTGACTGACTGACTGACTAAGCAAAATGCCCAGCAACGAGTGAGGCATGCATTCAAAAAATACGAGAAACTGATATATTCGCACTTGGATAGAAAACATTTCAAAGAACTCATAAACTGAGTCTACATTGTGGACTTACTGGATAAATAAATGTTTATGAAGCCATAGAGCACATAAATAAATAAATATTAAATACAATATCTTCCCAAAACAGATAACCATCCCAATGTATGTTTGACATTTGTTTTCCTACCAAGTAGTAAACTGGACTTTTTCGATGGTGCCTGAATGCAGCCAAGCATCGCTCTGGAAGGACGTATGGCGGGAGATTCAAACACTCCTACTCGTTGCCTGTTTACTGCCTACTTTAACTGTGAGTCAGATTTAAAACTATTTAATCCACGATAACCATTGGACATTACCAAATTTAATATGACACGATTTTGGTGTTAAAAGGTTTGTTAAAATTCCTAGTTAAACTAACTAATGAAGCCTTCTCTACATTAGGTTAATGCTAACTAAGCTAACTTGCATAACCGAAACATCTGTCAGCTGTTGTATTAATGCTGTTAAGATGACATGACTTGCTAAAACTGCTCCTAACTTGTTATCTTTACAAACAGGTAACCAAAAGCAATGAATCATTTGAGGAACATAAAAGAAATGCTGAGCATCCCAACTGGAAGCAGGTAGTTCGCTCACTTAGGCTACTTAACTAACTTAAACCTTATCATCTACTGTGAATACAGATGGCTGTTGTCATTAGTTTTAAATCTGAAAACCCTAAACTTGATCACAGCATCATGACTTACAGAAAGAGCTGCATCAATTAGTTGATTAGCTGATAGACAGAAAATTGTTAATCGTTTTATTAATTTTTCATGCACAATTACTAGTTTCTGAAATATGAAGATTTGATTCTTTTTTGTAATAAAAGGAATAAATTTAGGTTTTGGACTGAGGGTTGAGTCCTTTTTCACTAGTTTCTGACATTTTATAGGCAAAAACAAATTAATAAATAAGTAACTGGCAGATTAATAGATAATAAAGTAATTGTTAGCTACAGCCCTACATGGAACAATGTTTTGCTTATTTACCAAATTTCTACTTTTGTCGGTTTTGCTGCACAAATTATGTGTTTGTTCTTTCTTCACTCATCAAACCTTGTGGGGACAAAACAATCTTCAGGAATGTGGCTACCTGTGCCTTCTCCAGCTTGACAGAGTCTCAGTTATTCTTTGGGTCTCAGTTTTGGCCCGAAAACTCTCAGGGCGCGTCTCAGGACATGAGTTTGTCATCCAGGACCTCCCAGCAAAGTTCACAAGAGGTGAGATTTATCAGCTTTGACTTGTAGGTGATTCCTGGTGAGGCAGTAAGATCTTCTGGATGCATGAAGAAAGCACTACCCCACAGCCCCACTGATTAGAAATGTTATTACTTACATGTAGGTTACTCTCAGTATACTGTATTTACAAGTGACCTGAGGCCTGGGCAGGCTTAACGAGACAGCTAAAGCTCTAGAAATTTGCATGGGTGCTATGCTCTGAGAAATGTCAAAAATACCAAGTGATGTTATTGAGGGGGTTATCATAATTATTCTTTTGTTCCTTTAGTGAGTTTATATTTCCATAAAGAGTGTCATCTTAAAATTATGGAGATCTAAATAGGTAAAATGTAACCACCATCCCAACCATAACACATAACATGTTTGTAGGTCCATGACTATGTATCCTATGAGAGATTGTGCCATGTATGTTTTACAGATTTATCTATCCCTATAATGTCTCTGGTTGTATTGAGCCATTGTGTGCAATTTTGCAAATCAATGAGTGGGTGTGCTTCATAGCAGAATTGGGTTATTGTTGGTATGAAGAGTAGGTGTTTCAGTATTGATAATTCCATGATACAATGCATTTCTGTTTTTCTGTATGGATCCATTAATCCATTAACTTTTGATAGGAAAATGTAACCTAAATATGGGACCATGGGTGTGTACAGTTTTAATCATCTCTCTGATAATGGGAAAAATTGTTATGTCTGTTTTACATCTCTTTACCTCTGTATTTTGTCTCTGTTTAGGGGAGCGACCCAAAATTTTCAAACAATTATCACACTAAACCTCTCCTCCTTGGAGAATTGAAAGACAAAACCAGGGGTTTTGGAATACTGGATAAATTTGAAGAGGACAGGAAAAAGGCAAAAGAAAAAAATGACAGGTACTTTGTGTCATATCTTTCATAAACACAAATCTCAAGGTGCTTCACATCTTTGCATATACTGTACATACTGTACATAAACAAAATCAAGAGTTAGATGAAAAAAAAAGAAGCAACAATACAGACTACATAGAAATGACCATCCTCACCTTTGAATTTGTTTACAATCTGTCCTCTTTCTTTAACAGTGATCTGTTTGCCAAAGAATGTCAACATACAAGAGAAACTCTCAACAACGTAAGTGATGATAGGCATTTATTCTGTCATTTGTTTTTTTGTTTTTTTTAATATACAACCCCCATCCTCACATTAGACATTACAATACACATGTAATGTGTTAAAAAATGTTTTTCAGATCCAACAACTGGTCACTGGGGTAGACAGGAATATGGCTGTGTACCAAACTGTCCTCGAAAAATTTGACAATTTTGCATCAACATGTAAGTTTACTAAAGGACAGATGTGTTTTGATTTAAAGTTACATTCTACATATAGTCTAGTCTGGTTAATTTAGTAAAAAAGGCAGTGAGCAAGCATTTCTTGTCACCAGTAGATGGTGCACTTTGCCCAACGATTAAACATTGGTTCACTCATAATCTAATAATCTTATTATTATTCATTATTAATTATTATTAATCTTTTTAAATCACTATATGGTTTCATAATAATTTTTTTAAACCTATTTTACCTTTTTATTGGTTCATCCCAGTGCAAAATAATATGAATGACCTTCAGAGTGACATTTCCCAGCAGTTTGAGACTTTGGTAAATAAAATGAATTCCCACAAAGAAGTGATGACAAATCTGGAGGAAAAGGTGAAAAAGGTGAATAGCATGTCGCTCTCAATGCCATAAAAATATATTTTGGTTGCTAGTAAATGTTTCTGAATAGTAATGATGACAATTTCTCATTTATGTCTTTAAGAGTGGAGACACCACAGCAGAACTTGGTTCAAATCTGCAAATTTTAAAGAGTAGTCTTGAGAGTCTGAGAGAGGAGCAGGAGAAAGAACAAAATGTACTTGAAGAGACCCTGAAGCTGCTCAGCACTCTTGTCTCAGAGCATTCAGCCAAACCCAGCTCTCAGAGACTGATGGACAACGCCGTCCAGACGTCGCCAGGGCTGGAACAGTCACTCTCTGACATCCTACAGGACAACAAGCTCGAAGGCACACAGCTTCTATGTACATTGCACAACCTTGAACACAAGCAGGTTGAAGTTCCCCTTCAGGAGCCCAGCTGCAGCATTAGGAAACGGAAACTCACTCTCAGGGGCCATAGGAGGCGCAAAAAGAGACTGCTGGTACCCTCACAGAGGAGTAAGCGCACTGTCCCGGATGAAAACAGTCATTCTCTGATGAATTGTAACAAACATCAGAACGTTTCAGCACCTCTCTGTGATCGCCATGATCTGAATACGGTAACCAGCCAGGATAGTGTTCACTGTCTGATACCACTGAACAGGGAGAAAAGGTCCAGTGAACCTGCGAGGCATTTCGTCACCCCTCTCAGCTGCTGGTCTCAGGAGAGCAACAGCTCTGTGTGCCTCACAGGAATTGAATCCATCTTAGACAAGGTGTCAGCT